AAAATTTTTTGTGGCAAGTAATAAGCTCAACCTGTACGACCACTCTAGCTCTAAAATTTAGTACATATTTAATTTTATTTTCAAATTTAGTACCTTTTTTTAAACTTTTTTTTGAAAATAGATAATTGTTAAATTTATTTTATTTAGGTCTTAGTTGGGCTAGAGTTTAAACTTTAAACCTAAAACAAGATAAATCATTACAAAAGAACAAGACAGAAAAATTGGTGTATTTGCTACTGCTAATATTTCACATTTTATTATTATGTTTTAATTTGTGTTGTACTAAATAAAATGTGATTGACTGACATGTTTTAAATGACATTGTAAATCAGAAATTATGCATTAAATAAAATAAGATTGGTTGAAGTATGTTTTAAGATTGGTTTGTTGTGCTGTGCTCTACTATACCAATAGGTTTTTTTGCATTTTTAACTATTTAAAATATATAAAATATTAATTAAAATTCAACGGATGTATATATACAAATATGTATGGGCAATGGGCTGGACCTATTGGGATCAGCTCAGGTCAAACCCAGTTCAAATCCACGCTCCCGGGCACTACACTTGCAAGATCAAGACCCACACCAAGCCCAAACCATTCTAAGCCCAAAATTTTAAAATTCTCTTTTCCTTTTTTTTTTTTTTTTCAGTACGGATGAGCATCATTTGTATATATCTAATATTTATGGGTACTCGGCATATCTAGATAGATATTTTACGTATATCTTAAAAGAAGTAGTTAAATATTAAGTATAAAAAATGTATATTTATCAAGTATTGGGCATATCTATATATTTAGACTTTTACACTAATTCCTTTCTCACTAAAATTTAAGAGGAAAAACTCAAAAACATATTAAAACCACTTTGTTTCATTAAATTTTTATTAAAAAAAGGCTAAAATAGTTTATTTTTAAAGAAGTAATAAGTTTATTTTGGTATTTTCTTGTAGTGTTTTAATAAAATGTGTAGTTTTATGATTTTTTTTTCTGATATTTTAGAGATCCAACTAATAAATACTAATTTTTTTTAACAAAATTAAAATATGGTTTTGGCTTGTTGCTATGATAACAACCTATATATTTTGAAGCATATCAAAAGTTTTAAAAAGTGTTGTACAATCTAAATTATATTGAATTGCATAATTTAAATTGTTGAATGAAGGTTGACCCTTGATAACCTATATCTCCTCAATCCAATCATTTTTGTTTTGCAATTCAAACCACCAAATAAAGGAATTTTAAAAATTTATCATATTTACGTTTTCTTTCTCATTATCATCCTTATGTTTAAAAATGGCTATAAATTACTCGTACTAGACTTAGAGTGCTAAACTCCAAGAGGATGATTCAATTGGTTAAGAATTCGAAGACGTCATTTTAAATATCTCAAATTCAAATTTTGAATCAAAGGAGAAGAGATTTAAGAAAAAGAAAGTTTTGTTTGATTTAACAATTTCGAACAACCTGATGGCTGTCCTGAGCTTTTGTGTTTGTGATTGATGTAGGTAATTGGGTTGTGTATCTTGATTACACTGGACTGTATTTTGTTTTGGGAGTATTTCTTATGCTCCTTTTCTAATATATATCATATGTTGCTTTGCTGATAAAAAAAAAAAAAAACAATTTTGAACAACTTATACTTGATAGTGAATCGTACAATTTGTTAATATTTTTTGCTGTTTATAATTTAAATACTATTAATTATTAAATATTAACTATCAATTATAACTTGTTCAAAACAACTAAACCAAGGGCCTAAGTCTACCGTCCGGTGTCCATCCTTCCATCGGATACCAATTTGTTGTTTGTGGTTTAGGACATGCAATATCAGCTGTTGTCTTGTTTCTTCTTATCTGAACCACAGTAGATTGCAGTGATAACTCTCTTTCTCTTTCTATTTAGTGCTGCTCCATTGTTTCTTGCTTCTTATTCTCAGCTTTATTGGCGATTCTACTTCTCAATGACACAATGTGTTGGTGAGGCAAGTACTAAGAGTGGTGTCCAACCATTTTTTTTTGCGTAATTTCTTTTCAATAAAAATAAAAAATTTTGAATTTGAATCAT